TGAGATACGGCAAAACGGTTGAAATTCTGGCAAACGTAGTGGGTGTCAACTTTTGATTATAAACAATATTACAACATAAAAAAATCAAAAAGTAAGAAAAAAATTTAACATTATTTTATATGGGTACAAATAAAATTTACCATGAAAAATCGTCTAAGTCCGTAAAACTGTCTAAAAACGCTTATATCTCGAAAACGGCTTGAGATACGGCAAAACGGTTGAAATTCTGGCAAACGTAGTGGGTGTCAACTTTTGATTATAAACAATATTACAACATAAAAAAATCAAAAAGTAAGAAAAAAATTTAACATTATTTTATATGGGTACAAATAAAATTTACCATGAAAAATCGTCTAAGTCCGTAAAACTGTCTAAAAACGCTTATATCTCGAAAACGGCTTGAGATACGGCAAAACGGTTGAAATTCTGGCAAACGTAGTGGGTGTCAACTTTTGATTATAAACAATATTACAACATAAAAAAATCAAAAAGTAAGAAAAAAATTTAACATTATTTTATATGGGTACAAATAAAATTTACCATGAAAAATCGTCTAAGTCCGTAAAACTGTCTAAAAACGCTTATATCTCGAAAACGGCTTGAGATACGGCAAAACGGTTGAAATTCTGGCAAACGTAGTGGGTGTCAACTTTTGATTATAAACAATATTACAACATAAAAAAATCAAAAAGTAAGAAAAAAATTTAACATTATTTTATATGGGTACAAATAAAATTTACCATGAAAAATCGTCTAAGTCCGTAAAACTATCTAAAAACGCTTATATCTCGAAAACGGCTTGAGATACGGCAAAACGGTTGAAATTCTGGCAAACGTAGTGGGTGTCAACTTTTGATTATAAACAATATTACAACATAAAAAAATCAAAAAGTAAGAAAAAAATTTAACATTATTTTATATGGGTACAAATAAAATTTACCATGAAAAATCGTCTAAGTCCGTAAAACTGTCTAAAAACGCTTATATCTCGAAAACGGCTTGAGATACGGCAAAACGGTTGAAATTCTGGCAAACGTAGTGGGTGTCAACTTTTGATTATAAACAATATTACAACATAAAAAAATCAAAAAGTAAGAAAAAAATTTAACATTATTTTATATGGGTACAAATAAAATTTACCATGAAAAATCGTCTAAGTCCGTAAAACTGTCTAAAAACGCTTATATCTCGAAAACGGCTTGAGATACGGCAAAACGGTTGAAATTCTGGCAAACGTAGTGGGTGTCAACTTTTGATTATAAACAATATTACAACATAAAAAAATCAAAAAGTAAGAAAAAAATTTAACATTATTTTATATGGGTACAAATAAAATTTACCATGAAAAATCGTCTAAGTCCGTAAAACTGTCTAAAAACGCTTATATCTCGAAAACGGCTTGAGATACGGCAAAACGGTTGAAATTCTGGCAAACGTAGTGGGTGTCAACTTTTGATTATAAACAATATTACAACATAAAAAAATCAAAAAGTAAGAAAAAAATTTAACATTATTTTATATGGGTAGCATGCATTTTATATGGGGGATCATGCCCGAGTTTGCGTACAAACCTCGCACTATCAAGTTGATGATTTTGAGAATATATATGAGAATGGATGTGGATTTGAAATTTTAATAGTGTTATACAATGGTATTGAACATTTATATAGGCTTGTATAGGCCGAGAGCTGGATTTTTAAAAAAGTGGTCAAAAAAAGCTCACCATGTTATTCTTATGGGGAAAACGTGCCTAAAGTGATGGCTCTTTCTGGGTTCGCCACTACTAAAATGTGATGCATGTATCTGGTACGATTTTAGTTAAATAAAATAAACTCTCCAAACGAATTTAAAAATTATTAGATATGGCGAATCCTATCTTATTATTAAAGTGATTATTATTATTATTATCTTGTTATTAAAGTGATACAATCAAATTTTACGGAAACGGTAAAGGCCTCCGATGATTCTCAAACGGATTTTGTTAATTTAAAGCTCATTTGAAAGATCTTATTTATATAGTAGATGTCATATAAGGTCTTACACGTTTAAAACATTACTTGAGCCTGGTGGCTTTCAAAGTTCCCATGTTATTATTTTTTGTTTGCATTATGTTATCCCAATGAAGAACATATTTGTTTTCTTTATGATCAGCTGGGTAATTTAATTGCTGCTAAAATTAAAGGAGATCCTAGGAACGCGCTCTACTAACATTTACGCATTGACTTAGTTGAAATTAAATATTTACATTATTTTGTGATCTAAAATATTATATTTTATAACAAGAGTAGAAAGTGATAGTCATTACATATTTTAGAGCATGTTTAAATCGAGCACTTTATGGTCGAGAATATGTATAGACCCACTTTAACTTGTGTTTAAAAGTTACTTTTCGCTACTCTACAAAGACTAATTATTTTCTAAAAAAAAAAAAAAAAAAAAAACAGACATGGCTATTTCTTTATGACAAGTTGGAACATGACAATATTTACTTTGGTTGTACAGTTTTAGTTGTTGAAAATTTAAACAGTTGTCATATCAATAACAAATCTTGATTTGTTTACGTCGGCAATATTTAAAAAGTAAACATTACTTTCGCATAGTAAACATTCTTTTGCCATATTAAAAATATAATAAATGTAATCATGAACAATGTAATCATTAAATGTAACATTTTTGCAGGTGATAAACATGTAGCGAAAACCGTTTATTTCACAGTAGTGTAGCAAAAACTATATTTTCTGCATAATATGATTTGTAAGGATTTAATGAAGTTCAGTAATACAGGGATTTACTGCTTTGGTTTTGGTTCTAAAATCTATGCTTCATCCTTATATATAACTAGCTGGCCCGACAGATGTCGTCCTGTCCTAATGTGGTTTTATGTCAAATGCTCGTTCATTTTCAAGATGAGCTCGTTCACATGGCTCAATCACGTCCTGGTTGAAGTTCTTTCGCTGCGCTCACTTGCCTTCAGGTTAGCTCGTTTGCTACGCTAACTCGACTCCAGATTGAAGTTCGTTCGCTACGCTGGCTCACCTTTTGGTTGCAAATTAGCTGTCATAAATGTTAAAAAAATAATAGTGCTGCACGCTGTTGGTAAACCTATTAACTTTTTAATGTTATTGAACATCATAGAATCAAATTGTTTAGTTGAACCAGCTGTTAAGATTCTTCGATTCCATTTGAATATGAGTACTCGTATGGTTAACATGGGACACTCCAGAGCCACTGGGGCGGAGCTCTTCTGACGGATCTGCACCAAACTTCACACAAACCATCCTTGAATAATGCTTATATGCCTGAAAGTTTCATTACAATCTGTCGAGTGGTTTCGGAGTCCATAAAGGACAAACAAACAAACATACATTGGATTTTATATATACAGATACTTGAAGGCAATTCTACGAAACACTACTCCTCTGTTACTAATGGACTGATTTTTACAAACTATGTGTCAAAATTAAGTAATTTTTGTGTAGACGCCCCCTTTCAGCAATTCATGTAATAAAAGTCCTCGGGCTTTGCCCCACAGGCCATCAAAATCCCAATGTATTTCTTATGAAGAAAATATTTTGTTTACTAAACAGACAAATAATTTGTATTAATTACAGCTGTGCATAGTAGGCTCTGTACACATGATTCATACAAGAACGTTAGTTTTTCTGAGTGAGTTCGTTTTCAGTTTCGATAACTATGGGGTGGAGTGATTGATTACATTATCTTTGAATTGACTCTTTTAAGTCATCGGATATTTTTACTGTTATTCGTTTTGAAATAACGCCTGTAATACTTTGCAATTGCTCAAATTCGAGCAATAGGTGTACTAGTCAGGGTAGTATGGGTTCAGGCCAAAAACTCAATATGAAAGGATCAGTTAATCTACCTACATAAATAGTTAATTTGTTTGGATTATTGTTTTACAGAGCTCCTAGAAATTTTAATTTATTTTGATTTTTGGTGTCATTTTAAATAGCTAACTTTGAAGCTGCGTGTCGTCACGTGAAACGAAGTCAATAAATATTAAGAGCGAATTACGAGCTCTAAGTTTGTGATAAATTGCTGGTGCAAGTAATAATTTAATTAGCGAATCTATGCTAATGTAGGCAAGCATGTATGTACGTATGCGAATGTGTTTTAACAGCGTGAGTATTTTTATTAGCTACATAAGCTTTTAGTTGAGTCTTTTAAAATCATCGAAAATTATGACTGTTATTAGTTTTAAATTTACTCCTGTAATAACGGTATTTGACAACTATTGCTCGATCTAGAGCTACAAGGATATTAGTTTCCTATTTTCTCTTATAGAATGTATACATTAAACATACACGTGTTAGTTTGGAGTATGTAGACCCTACATTACCAGGAATACCCCGTCGGTGGGCTATAATCGATAAACAGCCGTTGTTCGCTATAGTTGATTGTTGGATTTGAATGCCGCGCCAAAATGGCACCAGTGGCACTGCGGCGGGGCACACACGAACTACCTTCGCCATCAACATGACCGGACAATCGAGCTCGCCTCAAAGGTCCCATATATATGATTTATCTACTTGAGGAGTATGTTTTATCTATGCCACCTTGAAAGATGTGAGTTAGTTAGTTACTGCACCTCAATTGTCTCAAGATAGAGTCAGGCTCGTGAGGATTTAGGTGGGGGATGAGCCAGATAATCTGATCAGGCACTGTTTTTATAAAAGAAAGAAAAGTTACAAATGAACATCAGTTGGGTATAGGGAAAGAAAATGTAAAAATAAAAATAGACAGTTTGTTTGGGAACTTGTCATAGAGCTATATAATTATATAGCTATGTAGTCAAGAACAGCGCAAAGGTACCTGAAGACCTAAGATTTGTGCTTGACCAAATTAATTTTAAAAGTGATTTATAATTTAAAATTATTTTTGAGAAAAACCAACACTATCGACTGGTACATATATTTCTTGTGGAAATAATTTGGCTTGAAAACTAAAAAGATTCTGTCAAATTTTTTGTAACTTTACAGATTGTCATCAGGTTCTGAAGCTACTTCACCAATCCCAACTGCTGTTTTGGAAACGTTTCAGCGGAGTTTTGGAGATGAAGTAACGTACCATTTCAAGGGCCTCACTAGTGCCAACCACAACATTAAGGCTGCCAAAGCAAGACAATACACTGCGCAAAAAGATGTAATTGGTTATTTATCCTTGAATGTTCCTAGCTCATGCTAGATTGTTTCCCCCGCTCATTATTACATGTTTCCCAATTAAATACAGTCGAACCTCTATAAGACGAATTTCAAGGGGTAGGGGGTATTTTACCATCGAGGTAATTCTTAATAAAGAGGTTCGTTTTATCGAGTTTTAATACTGCCGTTATTCATCTTATAGAGTTTTCTCATCGCTCTGAGTCAATGAATGAGGAAGGAAGATGGATGTGTGGGGGTTTCATGTTGAGACAAGCTACTGTTTGTTTTGAAAATTACATGATATGGAGGATGAGATCATGAGAAATTTGTCTTATAGAGGTCGCATTTGTCTTGTAGAGTTGTGCTAAAAACATTCGTTGTATAGAGATTAATCAGTCCTAGCCAATGTCACAAAAAATCGTCCTATGGAGGTTTTTAACCTAATTATTACGTTGTAGAGAAGTGTTTTTAGCATTGACCTTTATGAAAGTTTCAAGGGAATTAAAAAATCGTCTTAATGAAGAATTTGTTTTACCAAGGAGGTTCGGCTTTGCCTCCCAACTACTTAGACGTGCCCATCTCATAGCTCATACAAATCTGTCTCCAACTCGCAATAATCTGTCCCTTAGCTTAGCCCCCGAGCTATTTTTTTACTTGTACATGTCTCTTAGCTCATATTTACCTATCCCGTAGTTTATATTTGGTTATTAAGCTCATACTTATTTGTTTCCATACTTGTCTTTACACCAACTTATTTCTCTGTCTCCCAGGCTTATACTTGCTTGTTCTTTAGATGTTATATTTGCCTGTTCCGACGCTCATACTTGTCTTTATCTTAGCTCATATTTGCTCTCCAAAATTCTCATAATAACTTGCTAATTCTTTGCTTATGCATGTTTCCATCTCAATTGTTCTTTCCTAGTCCATACTTGTCTGTCTCCCAGCTCATAACTGCTTCCCCACTAGTTTGTAAATGCTTTTCCCACAGCTCTTTCCTACCTATCCACTTGCTTATACTTACTTTCCTTTCCATCTCATAACTATATGACCCCAGCTCTTACAAACAGTTCCCAAACCGATGTTTGCTTATTCTCCAGCTCATTATTGCTTGTCCCCAGGTGCGGTCGATGATAGAGCAGTGTGCTCCTCACCTGGTACTAAACCTCAGTCCCTTGGAAGAGATTAGATTCACTCACCCTCTCCCCACAACCTCCCGGATGAGGAACATCGATCTGTCTAACCCAGACAAGCTGTTGAAGGCGAGGTTGAAACGTGACTCTACCTCTACGGTGGGGTCTAAAGCTTCTAACACCTCCACTACTTCTAGTACACTGAGGTCCAAGAAGAGATCCTCGTAAAGGGGTTCAGTTTTTGAAACAAACCGAATTGGGGTTTCCATTTTTAAGCTTAAACCTGAGACTCATCTCCTTCCTTTATGTCTGGTATTCTTTATGTGTAAATATTAAGTTATTTTAAGCAACATATACGCTAAGGAATCCAAATACTCGTTTGTAAGTTCGTTTTAATTGACGTTTTGTAACAAAAATCGTCGAGGAACCAAATTTAATAATCATGTAGTTACACTCAATATGCAAGATATAGTTATGAGACTTACTGAAAATTATGGCAGATAATAAAACTAATTAAATTGTGAAAGTGTTTGGTATACTGTATACCAAAGTTATGTCATTACATCCTAATCCTAAGTATTTTTTTGCTTATGTATTTTTTAAATGTGCTATTTTTAAGTCTTAAGATACTGTAGTAATTTTTGTAAATCACTGATTGTGAATCTCTTAGATGTTTTTACTTTTTGTACCTAATAAAAGACACAAAAGATATGAGGTATATATTAAAGAATAAATGCTTTCCCTTGTCATGTGGTTTTGTATTAGAAGGCATCTGTAGAACCTTCGCTATAAGATTGAACTGCCTACTTGTATAAATGAGTCCAAGCTGGTAAAGTATAATGATGATTACTTTACTACGTTACTGAGTTTACTTTACTACATAAGTCAGCACATCATCAAAAAAGTAATATATGGAAATAATTAAAAATGTATATAACTAAGCAAGATGAAATTCGCTGCTTTCAGCTTATCTTTGAGAACAACGTCTAGCTGACCTTGACTGTGCCCTTATTAACGTTTGCATTAAATGCAAAAGTCTTTCGACTTAAATTCCATTTTCAATGGTTATGCCTTTTCTCGTCTTGCGTTAGCATTACGAAGTCGTCATGTTTAAGACCCATCCGGTGACGCATGAGAGCCCTTTCTTTATGGCTTTTAGGAAACTCATCAGGGAACTGCATTTGCTTGGAACAATCATTAGGTATTTGAGAGAGAGAGAGGGGAATTCTTTATTTACAACAAATTATTTTGCAGCATTACATGAATCAAATTAAAATATCACATGGGTCACAATGACCTGTGCGTGATAGAGTCCTTATTTATTCCATTATTTATTTATTTCATGCCAAAGCTATTAATATTTCAATAAAAGACATACCTAATAAAATGTCTTGTTGCAACGAACATAAACTTCATTAAACCTAATGTTATTAAAATATTTTTATGGGAATATTTCAGTGGAATTCCGATTAGGCAAATGAAAATTCACTGAGTCTGCAGGTTTGCTGGGGCGGAGGTATTATTCATAATTTTTGGTAAAAGATAATTTGATATCCCTCTCTGAGCAAAAGTTATGTTTAACCATATTACTCAAGAAAGTAGAGTAAACTAAGAGTGTGCACTAGTTTAACGTGAACTTGGACACTTAAACGTTACAGATATTAAATTAAGGTTTTGCAAATTTGTATTGTAGGAACTTGTTTGATGAAGGACATGTTCCCTTTGACAAGAACAAACAGCCAGGGCTCACACAAATATTTCACGTGCTGTTGAACACAAACTTTCACATTTTAGTTTCACCGTACACTGTAAACAACGCTAGGACATCTGTCAAAACTCTGAGTTGTTCCTTTGTGTAAAGTAAAAGTATTCTATTTACGCAGAATAAAATATTTTATTGTGGGGAAAAGAAAACGTTTGAAAGAAGAGTTTAAATATACACTACAATGTTTAATTTAGCGAGTAGCTAATAAGCACTGCCTACAATAGGAATTTATTATAGGAGAAATAGATAATCAAATAGGAAAACCGTTCAGTAATAGAATTGTAAAATTCTTACACATTTCCATTAAGTTCACAAACAATTCAACTTTCAATTGCAGAATACGGGATTTTAGACGTTATCCTCATAACTCTATACTATTGTTATTCAAAACTTATTGAGGATTCTGAAAATTGCAATAATTCCTAATAATATTTAGTGGTGCACTTATGGCCATTTTATCCAAGTAAGGACAAATATTTTTAAATTACCGTATTTTGTATGGCAACCTAGATTGGTGCTATTATGTCCCTAGTAGCTTAAAACATACATTTTTTTACACTATCTTCATTCTACCCTGTATATTATTTTCTGACTCCAAGTTATTGTTTTACTCCTCTTACAAGGTATTATCCAACAAATGTTGTAGTACTATAAGTAAACTGTATTTACTAACTATTAGCAAACTACGTGGACAAACAAGATGGTTTACCTTCGGTTTATTCTGTAAAACCTTCCTATCTTCAAATACTTCAAATTTATACGGCTTAAGTAGAATATACAATCCAATATCTTGAGAGCTGACATAAACTTATTGTTACAAAGTAAATGCATCTTGCAAATCCTCGAATGCGACAGAAACTTGAGAAATATGGAAACTGTTATTATATCAAGTAAACTTAAAGTAGGCCACATAGTTTATCGTATCGGAGCTGAATTATTTGTTACTGTAATGATTAGTATGAAACATCGAGCTCGCTCATAACATAAAGACGGCAAAATAGTTAGTAAAAATTGCAAATAAACACTCCGAATTATCTAAGATGTGGTTTTCTGCTGTTGATATACTTTAAGCGGTTTTGTGAGACAAACATTGCCATAACCTTTACTTTATGGCCTTAAAACAATCATGTCCATACAGACGAATAATCAAAATTGAAAATATCTACAATAAATTACACCATGTAGACTTCTCATCCCATTGTAAATTTTGAAGCACGTTTTTCGTGTCTAGTTCATGTACGTGACACAAAGGTGCTAGTGTCGACGAAACTTTGTTTCTATTATTTTAGGGTTATTTTCTTGATTTGTGCTTTACTGTTTGGTTATATAACTAGGGGACAAGTTATTGTTTATGATTAGATCGTATTATTTGGTTAAACGAGGTTTTAAATGGCTGTAATAACGGGAAACAAATTGTAAACAAAACACGACCTCTACATAAACCGTACAGAACTAACAATAAAATTGTCTTCAGCTGTTCCATAGAAATCTACTAAGGGAGCACTAAGGGAGTATGTTTTATCTATGATTACACTAACAAACTCGTAATATTTAACATCTCAGCTGTTGACCAGCATTGTTGCGAGTTGTGAATATTATGCGCTCTCTGATTGTGACATTTGTTGGTCTAGCAAATTTTTCGAGCGTTTCATTAGTATTCTAAACCAATACAATTTACAAATCAAATATGCACACCTATGCAAGATTTGGTTGCACGAACTACTAATTGTGGACTCAGGAAATGTGACATGAATAATTAACTTGGTGGTATTATCAACAAAACAATAATTGCAATCATTAGTCTTATTAGCAGTGAAATAAATATGGTTTGTAAACATTGCATTTTTAACCAAACAGCGTCCTAAAATATCAAATTGTTTATTTTTTGTAACGACATTCTAAATTTCCCATAACAGATGATACCCTATCCTATGAAACCTTGACGTATAATGGTAAATTTAAAAATATAAAATAAAATAATAAATAAGTATTAATTTGTTCAAATATTAATGTTACTTTTTATTCTCTTGAAACTACAAAGTACATTTTTAACGCAGTTTACATCAGAAATAATTACTGTCACATAATTGGATTAACGTTTGAGAGCTTTTACCCGACTGCTTAATAGAGGCAATTAAAAAGTCTCCATTACGAGTTAGAGCAGTATTTATGGAGTATGGTTGCTATGTTCCCTAATTTAAAATCCAGAATAGGTTTTGCTGCAAGGGAAATATAGAAAATACAATTAGGGGAGTGACTAAAACATACGTTCAAAATAAAATTATAACTTTGAGTAAAATCGTAAGAATTTAAACAATAATTAGCAGCAACTATCGAAATTAAGTTTACTAAAACTTGCAAAGCCTTTTAGTATGTTTATATTTTTTCTAGAGTGTAAATGCATTCAAAGAATACGATTCATTAATTTACAATCAAGGAATAAATATTGATAAGTTTACATCAATGAATACAAAAATTGTATCCATTATAACTATACAGGTTTTCAATAAACAAACAATAAATCCTATTAACGTTTTAAAAACCAAGTGGAATGCTACAAAATTAATATTTATTAACTGAAAATATCATCCAAATAAATATTTGTAGACAAATAAATAGATTTATTTGCAAATACTTCAAACATCACAATTGTGTCATATAATATATATACAGGGTGACAAAAAAGTCTGGAAAAGGCTTAATATCTTTTTAACTAAATCCGTTAGAAATGTCAAACTTTTCACATCAGCTTACATGTATAAAAACTACTTTTTCCAAGCATTTTGATGTTTTTACCTCCACCAGGGGACGACCCATGAGGAGTAGGTACATAATATTTAATGTAAGCATAGGTTGATTTGAACATAACTTTAAAGGTCTGGTCAAGTGGAGTTCATTGCCGGAAACCGCATCTCAAAAGGTCCATTCGTTACAAAATGGCGGCATTTCAAAGTTCTTATGGAATATACCTTTACAGGCCTTAATATTGGTAAATACTCGTATTAAACATTATCTTGAGAGCTTAAACTGTATTTTAAAGTCAACTAGCCCATAGACTAAGTTCATTCAATCTTAAAAATAAATTTAACCGGGTTTCAGATTTCCCGGCTAATTTTGACTATGAGTATTTACCATTACTAAGGCCTGTGCAGGTATATTCCGCAAGAACCTTGGACTGCCGCCATTTTGTAACGAATAAACCTTTTTTGATGCGGTTTCCGGCAATGAACTCCACTTGACCAGACTTTTAAAATGATGTGCATATCAACCTATGCTTACATTAAAGATTATGTACCTACTCCTCATGGGCCGTACCCTGGTGAAGGCAAAAAAATGGTAATACTTGCAAAAAGTAGTTTTCATACATATAAGTTGATGTGAAAGGTTTGAATTTTCTAACGAATTTAGTTAAAAAGATATCAAGCCGTTTCCAGACTTTTTTGTCACCCTGTATATATATATC